TGCACACATCCAGACAGTGCCACTCCCTTCTCCCTATCATGTTTTGGGTTTGCGCAAAAGGATGGAAGGATGATCTGTTCCGATCTATGGAAGGCTGAGTTGACTTTCAGAATGAAGCCTGGGTCTGGTCGTAAGGCCACTTTGTCGCTATGAAAAATACACAGTTCCTTGTCTACCGATAAGGCCCTCAGCCCCAATACCCTCCTAGCTGATGTTACTGCCACCAAAAACAGGGTCTTGATTGTCAATTCCTTCAAAGGACATGTTGCCATTGGTTCAAAGGGGGCTTACATAGGGCTTTTAAAATGATATTTAGCCTCCAAGAGGGAGTCCAGTGCACCAGAGGTGGTTTCAATAAAGAAATCCCCCTCAAAAACCTCCTAACATGGGGATGCCTAGTCAGAGAGGATTTAGGTTCTGCTCCCCACACCAGGACTGAAACACCTGCCACGTAGCATTGTATATTCTATTTGCGGACCCCTTCCTGGATGCCAACATAGTCTCTACTACCCTGGTTGAATAACCCAACCCTTCTAACTGTTGCCGTTCAACCTCCAGGCAGTGAGGTTTAGAATGGCCAGTTGAGGATGCAAGGTTGTTTCTGGAGACAGTAGATTGTCCCAGAAGGGCAGGTGCCATGGTTGTACCACCGACAGTGCTTAGCAGGTCCTGGAACCAGGCTCTCTGTGGCCAAAATGGTGCCACCATCACCAGCTCCGCCTTTTGTTTCCACAATTTCTGTATCACCCTTGGTATCGGATCGGTGGAAAGGCATACAGGATGCCCTGTAGTCAATCGCAGTTCAGAGCATCCACTCCCATTGTCTGGGGTTCTTTCGTTCTTGACATAAACCGTTGAACCTGTTGGTTTCATGATGTCACAAACAGATCCACTTCTATTGTCCCAAATCTGTTGACAATTTGCTGGAAGATGACTGGACATAGCCTCCACTCTGCTTGGTCCAATAGACCTCTGCTTAGTCCGTCCGCTAGGGTGTTGTCCTTGCCTGCCACATGAATTGCCTTTAGGGACTGGAGATCTGTTTCCGCCCATGTCACCAGAAGGCTCGCCTCCACATGCAGAGACTATACTCTTGTTCCTCCTTGTCTGTTTACATAGGCTTTTGCGGTGGTGTTGTCCATCTGGACTAACACGTGCTGTCCTGCCAGACTGCCCTTGAAGTGCCGGAATCCCAACCTTATGGCCCTGAGCTCTAGGAATTTTATACCCCCCACCCCAGTAAGCTGGCATCCATGGTCATCACCACTTGTTGTGGCTCCCATATCTGGGACCCCTGAAGAAAGCGGGAGGGGGAGGGGCCGGGAGCGGGAGGGGGAAGTTCCCTTGCTGCTGAAGTTCCCTTGGTATTCGGACCATCTTCTGTTCTTTCTTGGCAATGAGGTTTTGAAAAGGAAGAAGAAACCGTTGTAGTGGTCTTGCGTGGAACCTGGACCATTGGACTATGTCCTGACAGGAGACCATCACGCGGAGAAGTTTGGCTAAAGTCATCACCTCTACTTTGGGTCCATTCAAGACTGCGTTCATCGATGACCTGATCTTGTGTTGTCTTTCCTGTAAGATGTACACTCTGTCCTCCACCGTGTCCACCTGAGCACCCAGATGGACCAGTTTCTGTGTTGTGTTTAGGCTGCTCTTTTCCCAATTTATCACAAATCAATGTTCCTTGAGGGTCTGGATTGTCAGATTCGATGCTTCCACAGTTTTCTGAAATGATGGCGCCTTGATCAGGATGTCGTCTAGATACGGAAACGAGGACACTCCCTGCATCCGCAGATGGGCTATCAGAGCCACTAAAACTTTGGTGAAAACTCTGGGTGAAGACTTGAGGCCGAACGGGAGAGCTTTGTATTGGAAGTAATGTCCGTTGTACACAAAACGCAGGGATTTGTGATTTGTCTGTCTGATGGGTATGTGCAAATAGGCCTCTGATAGATCTATGGCAGTTAAGAAATCTTCCTTTTGAATAGCCGATAGAATTGACTTCAATGTCTCCATCCAGAACCTCTTTGTTCTGACATGCTTGTTTAGCCATTTTAAGTCCAGAATCGCTCTGACTTCCCCGTTCTTTTTTGGGACGATGAAGAAGATGGAATACACTCCCTGTTTCAGCTGTGTTTCCGGTACCCGTTCTATCACTCCTATGTCTACTAGATGCTGAATGACTCTCACGAGTAACTGATGTTTCTCTGTCAATGAACTTTGTTTGATCTGTACAAAATGGTTGTAGGGAAGTCTGGCAAATTCTATGGAGTAGCCTTTGGAGAATGTCTCCAGTACCCAGCAATCGCTCACTGTTTCTTGCCAACGATGTGCAAAGAACTGGAGATGACCTTCTATCCCCTGACCTTGTGCCATGGCGTAGTCATGCTGTGGCACTTTTCTTGCCAGGTCTGGTTCCCTGCTCGTTTTTATGCGTAAAGGGGGATTTTCCATCTCGTTAGCTACTTTGTCATTTCCTTTTGGGTGACCTGTTGTAGGTTGTGTGACTTGCTTTCTTGTAGTCACGAAAGGACTGGTATCTTTTTTGAGTTTTAAACTCCTTCTTTGAAGGTAGAACTTTTTTCTTTTCCTTATTCTCCAGTAGGTGTTTGTCCAGTCCTTCTCCAAAAAGGTTGACCCGTTTAAATGACACCAATGCCACCTTAAGTTGTGCCGATGAATCCACGTCCCAATTTCTTAGCCAATTATGCCTCTGGGCTGCCACGCTGCTTGCCATGGACCATGCTGATAGCTGTAGCGCATTGAGCGTGGCGTCTGCTGCAAAAACTGTTGCCAGGGCTATCTTTTTTAGTTTGTCTTTGACTGCCTTGGGATTGTCACTCTCCGGAGAATCTAGGTCCGATGCCCAAGCGTAGGCAGCCCTAGCGAACAAGGAGCCTGCTGTGGAAGCCTTCAGCGAGCAAGAGGAGGTCTCAAAATCCCTGCGCAGTCAGCTTGTTCAACACGTCTGTCACTTTGATCCTTTGGGAAACCTTCTGCGTCTGTTGGAAGGACTGAATTTGATGTCAAGCTGGTGACTGGATCATCGACCATTGGTAGCTTTATTCTCTTCGTAGCTTCTGGAATCAAGGAGTAAAACTTGGGGGGAAATTGGTTAGTGGGCTTAGGCCTCGTGGGATGTTCCCATTCCGCTTTCATGATACTAAAGAAAGCTGCTGGAAGTGAAAGCCCCGATTGTGTTACAGAAACTTTTGGCATGCGTTTCCCTGAGCCCGCTTGGAACTCTGGGTCTGGGTCCTCTTTTTCCTTAGACTATGGTGATAATTCCAAAGTCCTCAGAACCTTAGGTAACAAATGTGTATAAAGTTCTTGTGGGAAAAGTCTAGTCTGGTTAGTGGGAACTACTTCTTCCTCCTCCTCAGATAATTGTCCATCCTCTTTATCAGATGATGCAGAGGAAGATTCAGAATCTCCCTGATAAAGATCCAAGAGAGGGCTACCTTCTCCCCCTGATCCTGCCTATCTCTTTTGGACCTGGGAGGTAAACAGGGAGCACTGGCAGAAATAGCTCACTTCCTGGTTTTCTTGAGCTGTCTGCCTCTGCTTGGAGAAGATCTAGAGGTAGCAGGCTCATTGCTCTCCTGCATCAGTTCCCTGAACTCCTTCCTCATTTCCTGTTTAATCCAATGTAGTAAATTGGCCTTTGCATCTTCCCCTGCTAGTTCCACATTCAGGGGATCATGCGTGGATAAGGACACAGACTATCTGGGAAATTCAAATTCACTGTGATGGGATCCCTGTCTTTGGGGACTAGGAATTTCAGATCTATCCTCCATTTTACAAGTTTGGATACCTGGGGTAAAGTGACAGAGAAACCTTCAGAAAGTGGAGTCAACCAAATGGCTGTGCCTGTGGTCTTTCTGTGCCTGTGTGGACCAAGAGGCTGCTTGTCTACGCCCAGCTAAGATTGCCATACCTCAGGACAAAAACCCAGGCAGAAGAGACCTCCCCCCACAACTGTCTGCATTGTTACCCTGCTCAAATCGACTCCAGGACTAAGGAGCTGGGTAGAGAGTCCTTCCCCCCCGCCGCCCAGAACTGAACGTTTTGGAGCTTTCTTGGGGTGGGGTGGGAAGTGGGGGGAAATGGGGAGTTCTCTCTTGTCTCCCCCCATTCATCCACTGTCCCCTATGACCGGCAGTTGCTTACCGCGCGTCCTCTGGGATGGTTTTCCCAGTCGCATTGGTCTTCGTGCTGGGTGCTTTGCGCCTTGAAACGCCTCCGTGTCATGGCAGTTCCCCCAGCTCCCACACCGAGTCCCTGCTGCACTCTCCCTGTTGCGGAGAGGCAGAGGGGGACTCTCTGGCCCAAAGGGGGAGAGTCCTGAGGGAGTCTGTGGAGAGGGCCGTGGCTACCGGGAGTCTCCTGTGCCACCGGCCCATCTTGAATGCTGCCTGCGGCTCGGGCAAGGCTCCTTTCCCCGGGACCGAGGTTTTGCGCTGCTGTCTGCAGCTCTATGTGGTCCCTGGGGCCTTTTGCTGGATCTTCACTCTGCATGAGCCGAGTACTTTGTCTGCAGGGCCGGTAAGACTGGGGACAGCCCAGGGAACAGGCCCCTCCCCCAGCTGGATCAATCAACGAGACTGACCCTGCTTGAAGAGGAGGAGCCTAATTTCCATATGGAAGGACTGTCCCACTAACTGGACCACCGGATAATTCAGTATGTTCAGCTCTTTCCTCCTGCACACACTTCCTAGACAAAATCACACCCCTTCACTGCTGAAGCCATTGTAGGGGAAGGGAGCAGCTGAACTCAGAGGAAACTTTCAATAGACTCAAATGATTGATTCATTGTGAGGATAAGGAAGTCGGGGAAACAAATGCCTCACCCGCCTTACATGTTCTCACTTGTATGTACTAATAGTGACACAGAAATTGCCTGTCACAGTCTCATCTCTCACTAGAAACAGTCAGTAAGGCCTCAAATAGAGCCCACACTATGGGACAATGGAAGCAATATGCCACCTCTGGATCCTCACCTGTCTAGTCTGTGAATCCAGATACTGCAGGATGAGTCTCGTATTCACACTGTGACTCCATGTATTCCCCAGTGCTGCAGTCACGTAGCTAGACTCCCCAGCTCCATTTCTGGAACATCCTGGAATAAAAATGAGGAAGCACTGAAGTTACATATTTCAGTTACAACCAAATTGTGTAAAATCCTGAAGATCATCTCATCATGCCTCGAATTGCTTAATTATGGAGACAAGTTATTTTCATCTTATGCTCAAATTTCAAATCACTGCATTTTCCACTTGGGTCAGCATGGGCAGATCACTAAAATGAAAATCTAACGAGAATATGAAATGCTTAGCTTATTACTTTACATGCTTATTATGAACAGCTGCTTAGACATGAATTTTAAAAATTAAACACAGTAGATATTTACCAATTTTTACAATGAATAAGGCTGCTGCTTCTACTTTCCACCTTGTGTCTGCAAAATGAGCTTGCACCAAAGTGGAACCTGCAATGTGTTTGAAATTTGTCAAACTGTATCAAGGACAGACAGAGAGAAGTTTCACTAAACCACTTAAAATTTATTGAAGCAATTGCTAAGGAAGAGCTATGATCTCATACAAGTTACTGTCTATAACAGGGGTATGCAACCTTTTCAGCCCAAGTGCTGGGGGGGTGGGGGTGGAAGCTACCATTCAAGATGCCGGTGCACTGCCAAACAAAATGGGGGAGGGAACATGAAGGTTGTACTTGGCCAATCATACTTGGAACTTGTCAAAACCCAGTGGCACTGTCAGCATCTCAGGGATTCATCTTGGACTCAGCTGGTGGCTATGCAAATCTGAAAGGAAATGATGAGCTTAAGCATTGACTGTTGCCTTTTCCCACACTGTTGGCCCCAGTAGTGTGGTCAGTGCCTCAATTGCTTGGGTGGGTGGAGATCTGGCCCTGGGTGCCAAACAACATAGCTTAGTGTGCTGTGTTGTCTTACTCCTGGCCTAAATTATATTATTCAGATCACTGTTTTTTCCTTAGCATTTTACACATGCTAACACAACCCTCTACACAATACTTTCTTAACAAAAAAAATGTAATATGTGTAAGCTGTCCCAAGAAGCAAGAAGAGAACATCTTTACTTTTTACTACCACAGCCTGGGTGCAGCCAAATGGGTAGGAAGCATCATATTACAATACTGTGCAGTTAAAAATTTCTTGAAGCAGAGATTGGGCACTGAACTGGACCATTCATCTTGTGGATATCAAGTTCGTGCATCCACTGTGTTCTATGTAGCACATATAATTCATTGCAAGATTGTTGTCTGACTTGTTTGTCACAGCAACTGATTGTCACTTTGCAACCTTCCACTTACTCTGCCTTAGGAAAATATAGCAGTGGTGTGTCAAACTGCAATCAGTGTCTATAACAATTTTTTCAAACTATCACTGCAGTTCAGTCTGATAAAAACTAACAATTCTGTCGACTTCCGGTTTATGGTGGCGCGCTGAGCAGATTCACCTCCCAGACCTCCCGGGGGTGAAGCTGCGCACCGGCAGAAAGGAGAGGGGCCGAGGCATCGCTACCCCTCCCAGGAGCCTGGCGAAAGGCTCCTGGCCAGGGGACTCCTGAGAGGTCGCCTCTTCACCAGCGCAATGCTGGGGAATCGAGGCGCTTCTCCATCCCAACGGTCCCTCTGCTGAGTGTCCGAACGGAACTAGTGACGCTGACCGGGACAAGCGCTGGAGATTGAGTGGCTAAAATGGAGGCAAAGCGAGGTCGTATGACCGAACATGAACAGTGAGTCGGACTAAAGTGTATTTGCTATTTAAAAAGAAAGCTCCCCACCCCATGGACTCGAAGTAAAGCGAGCGGGGGAGGAGCCCCTCCCTTGCGCATAAACTTAAAAGCGAGACCCGGGGGGGGGAGCGGAAGCAAAAGCGATAAAATCTGTTGGGAAAGACTTACCAAGGCACATATGAGCGCATATTCAGAGACTTTAAAATTTTTTGCGAAAGTAAACAATCCATAAAGATGGCGGGGAAGAGGACTGAGAAAGAGAAACTTTTAAAATCAAAAGTAGCTGAGAGCCCATGACCGGAAGGAACCACCGAGCTGGCCAAAACTTTGGCAGAGTCCCTGTGCCCCCTGCTGGACCAGATGACTAATCTCAAGGAACAGTTGTCAACAATGAACCAATGTATCACTACTCAGCAGACACAATTGAATGAGACTCTCAAAATTACGGAACAAACAGCTGAGAAAGTGAAAGAAGTTGACGCCACTGCTCAAAAGGTGAAGAAAAAGGTACAAAAATTAGAAAAGAAGCAAGTGTCTACAGAAGAACAGCTTCTACAACTACAAATGGAGAAGGCAAACCTGGTCCTTCGTTTCCAAGGTGCCCCAGAGACTAAGGGCAAGAATCTGAAGCAAATGATGAGCGAAGCATTAGCCCCAGTGACAGATTTGAAGGCGGCGTTGTTGATGAGGGAGATGGATGTGGCCTATAGGTCATATTCCAGATATATAAAGAAAAATAATCTGCCTGGGGAAATAGTAATAAGATTCTCAAAGAGGCACGTGAGGGAAAATTGGGGACAATACTATCAGGATCTTGAAAGATATCCCATTTGAAATAAGACAAAGGAGAAAGAAATATAAAGATTTAATTCTTTTTCTTCAAACAAATGCAATAGTGTACAGGTGGCTAATTCCAGAGGGCGTAACCTTCAAACTTCAGGATAAAAAAGAAAAGATTGACTCTGTTCACAAAGCATGGGAATTTCTGAGAATCCAGTTGGGAGAGCCAGAGGAAGTGGAAAAAGAGGAGGACAGTAAGTTCAGTGGTGAGCTGGACTCGGGGTCTTCCGGAGAGGACTCTCTTTTGGAGAAAGGGGCGGCGGCCCCTAAAAGTCCTTACAAACTGCGGAAAAGACAGAACAAGAAAAAATGAAGGCTGAAGGACTCTGAATTGTGCCTTTGAAAATATTACTGTTAATAATGAGATATTTTGGGGTCTTTTTCCCAACAGTTAAATTTAAGATTTAAACGTGACATTAGCATATCTAAGTTCATAAAATTGTTAGAGTTTTAAGGGATGGCTTTGTATTTAAGATAATTTGATGATCTCCTCTCTTGGGTTTTTAGTTAGTAGTGGTTATCTTTTCTTTCTCCTTATTTGTAGTTTCCCCTCCCCTTTTTTCATTGTGGTTTGTAGTCCTTATATAAAATGCAATTAAAAAATCCCCTTTGGGGGGCAAAACCCCCACAAAAAACTAACAATTCTGTCAAGCTTATAAACAAATACTGGGGGAAATAAAGTGGCCAGTTACATGCACAGTGTATTCTGTGAACTAATTCTAACCATGGTGGTTTCTACACTCCCACAGTTAAAGATAGATCCCCACAAACAACAAAACACGTCCCCCCTTTAATAAGGAAAGGCTGACAATCATATGGAATCAAATCGGGATTCTCTGTAAAACTGGCCCTGTAGACTTTTACAGGGGTGGCCAAACTTGCTTAATGTAACAGCCACACAGAATAAACGTCGGATGTTTAAGAGCTGCAAGACATGAACAAATATCACACACATTTTTATTGAAAAATACGCAAATTTGCTATTTTTAACATTAAATTAGACTGTGTGAAAGAGCTGCATGTGGCTCCTGAACTGCAGGTTGGCCACCCCTGTATCTATTACATCACCAAATGAGTACAAACTAAACAGATACAAGTCAAAACCCGACCTATGGGGGTGGGGGGAGAGATCAAGGGGTTATTTTTCAAGTGCATCTCAAACTTTCTTATTTCTGATCCATCTATCACCTCTCATAAAATCCAATATGGAGATGGAAATGAACTAGGCTAAAAAATAGTTAACTCAGCTAGAATCCATGGGGAGGAAATATATTGTTACCCTCTTGACATCAGAGCACATTCCTTTAGAACCCAAGACTCCCACTTATGTCAACAGGTACCTTGCCCAAACAAGGGAGGCAAGTTCAGGGGTAGAGTGATTAGAAAAAAGAGCAGGGAAATAAATTACTCTGCCCTTTCCACTTCTGAAGGGAAAAGCTTGCAGTACCAGGCTATGGGAGGACCTGCCTTGGCAACTGCTTACGGTACTATTTGTGCAGATAATCTCCCGTCTGCAGAGTCACTCCCGTCTGCAGAGTCACTCAAGCATGGTTTGTCGCGCAAGGCAGTTGGGTGTGGCATAACTTCTTTCTTACAGTGTACAAAAAAGGGGAAAAAATAGAATACACCCAGCAAGAAAGTTTTCTGTGTAAAAGAGAAATACTGTAAGCCTGCTGTAATCTATTTCATTAAAACACAAAGAAAAACTAACTGGGCAACAGCAATGCAAGCCCTGAAGAAAAAAGATCAAGTACCCATGAGAGTTCAATGGCAGTGACAGCCAGATACTTGTCCCTTCTCCCAGCACTGAATACCAGGAGACAACAGATGTCTCAGAGGCAGGAAATCAGAAATGGCAGGATAAGAGATAGGCGCTCAAATATGCTGCTTAACATTTTTCTGTTATTTCAACTGTGGCATGAATTTTAATAAGACTGTGAAAGATAATGAACAAAGGTTCCTGCATTCCAACAAACATATCTTGTTCTCTGTTCCATTTTTAGTCTTATACAGCAGTTTCTTATTTGGATATTAATGTCATCTAATCCCCCCCCTTTTTGCCGTCAGCTCACGACTGATTTATGGTTACACCATAGGGTTTTCTTTTTTCTCTTTTTAAAGAGTTTTATTAGTTTATATATAGAAAGGGGGAAAGGAAAAAGAAGGGGGGGAAGAGTACAGAGTTATATATTAAAAATCCAGTTTAACATTCTGCATGCAAATCTCCTCCTGAAAGTTTCACAAGTATTATAACCATCTTTTTTATTATTCTTCATTTAGTCTTAGTTTCTCAGTACTTATGTTTTAACCAGTCATAAAACGCCCTTCATGGTTCCATAAATTCTTCCATTTTTCCTTTTAGTATATTTGTCAATCTGTCCATTTCAGCACATCCCATAACCTTCGTTAGCAACTCATTAAGCATTGGGATTTTCAGTGTCCTCCATGTCATTGCGAATAAGATTCTGGCCACTTTTATAACATGTAAAATAAAGTAGCTATG